ATATACTCAGTAATAGAACAGCATTGTTCACACGTTTGTTTCTTGAAAGAAAACAAAACACATGAATGAATATAGAAGTAACAAGCAGACATGCTGTGTATGCCGTCGTTTGTCTGATGATATTTGAAGGTTGATACGCTCTATAAGATGTTTATATCAAAATGGACAAGACAAGACACTTGGAGCATAGCGGGTGGTTTATCGAATTCATGAGGCTACTTACAAATAGATTCTGAAAAGATGTTTATAATAGAATTTGTTTTACCACAATACAGTTTCTCTAAGATGTAAATGTAAAATGTAGAAGTATTTTCCTCGAAAATCCTGAACGGTATCAAATTAGTTATTTATTGTTGTTCAAATAATCAGGAGAATTTTTTTTTGTCTATTATCATTAATATAAATATTATTTCATCACTATGGATATAATAGTGATTCATTGACATAAAAATTATATTACTTGAGTATGCATTATATTCATGAAATATTAATAAATAACATTGAACGAAATTTATCATGAGATTTAAAACGAATAAAATAATTTTTTCATTGAGCTATAAAAAAAAGAATCATTAGATATTAAGAAAAGAGCAAAAAATAGTTAATTTAAAAGTATATATATATATATATATGAAAAAAAAGTGAATAAAGAACAGACATAAGGACATAAAAGCGGATTTTGATATCCTGTCGTCACAAGAATAATAAAAAATAACAATGTGGTACTTGATTCCCTTGAGTGATGCGAACGTATTTATGTATGTTTGTCAATTCTTGTTGTCTCTTGTTAGTTAAAAACATGTAAAAAAAAACTATCTTAATACTTAATACCAAACATTACAACATAGAACTATTTGTCCTTATTGTCGTTCGTTTTAAGCTGATCTTAAATACAAACGCATCCATTTCATTTCTGTTTATAAAAGAAAAATAGTCTAGGCTTTAATCGAAAGTTTGCAGTATTTTAGGAAGAAACATAATGATCGTCAATCTGAAATAGAAATAGTATAAAGATACAATTCTGTTGTTATTTTATGTTTTTTTTATCTGCTTAATATTGAATAATTTGTTGTAATTATATCTAATACGATAACTAATTGAGAAAGTATTTTTTTTCCTCGGCTTATTACAATTATTGTATCATTCTGGATGCGTTTACTTTTTATGAAAATTTCTGTAGATCAGATAGTAACAATTACAAATCACAGTGTGATAACTGTCGATGTATCAATATTGATTTGGACTAGTTTTATTAGATGTTTAATTGCATTCGATTTTTTCGATCAAATTTTCTACCTATTAAAAATTTTTCAACTGGTGATGGAATTTTCTTTTCGTTAATTTTTTGCGTTACTGTTTATGTTGTTCAGCTTATTATAAATAATCATCATTTGAGTGTATTTGGAGCTCAACATTGAATCCTATCTACAACAATAAAATTAGTCGTGAATTATGTATTAGTTATATTAAGTGCTATGGGTACCATATTATTTCTTTTTATTAAATCAATAAATGCACCATTCGAAATCTTGTTATAACGCTAAAGATAATTAGAATAATGTCAATGTTGAAACTGAAGAAATGTTTGAAACAGTTTTGATTATTTCTTAATCAATTAAACGATTCAATACAAAAACATTAGACTATGCTTTAGCTAAAGTATTTTATAATCTAATATTTATTTCCGATCAATCTATTTGTGATCATCCAAAAAGATATATATATATATATATATATATATGATATACCACCAAATAAATTTTTTATATATCAATTCACATTATTCAGATATTCTTCTTTCATCTATTTTCTATTGTATTGTTTATACAGTATCAAAAAACATCATATATTAGCAATTTATTCATCTGATCTATTCGTGCAATATGGGCTATAGGAAATGTTGGACTTGTTATTGATATTAGTTCATCATAAAAGGTGTAATAGCTTCTCGAATTGTAAGTGTTTCATCGGTTATTATAAGTAGCCTTATGATCATTATTTTAGTTTTGAAAAAACAAATCAAGGAAAAAGAAATTATATTTTTCTTGCTTTTAATATGATTGTATGTTGTCTTGTTATTGTTCTCATTAGTCTTTTCGCTTAATTAAATATGTACAATATTTTTGTCTTTTTGTTTTTATTTATTTTCTTTTCTGTAAAAAAGGCAATAAAAGGAAAAAAAACTAACGTTAAATATCACGATTATTTACTGAGAGAAAACTGCTAAATGACTTTTTTTTCCCCAAAATTTTCTTTCAAATCTAGATTGATATAGAAAGTAAAATCAATTAATTCGAAGTTGTAGTTTCATTCTTATTTTCTTCATTTGTTTTATGTTCACCATTCGTAGTTTGAACATTCGTCTAAAAAAAAATGAATTAATTAATCAATTAACATAAATAGGATAATTTTTAATTTTAAAAATTATACTTTTTCATTTTCTTCAGACATTTTAGAAAATATTGTAGCATATAATTGTTTTTCTTGTTGTTGATAAGCTTTTAATTTTTCTTGACATGTTTGAATATGTTGTTTTGCTGCATCATTTGATGAATTTAATTTAAGAACTTCTTGAAAATCTTTTATCGCTTCTTCAAAACTTGACATAGACATTTGACTTTGTCCTCGACGAAAAAAAGATTTTTCATTTTTAGGATCTAATTCAAGTGCTGCATCACATGCACGAATACATTCAGCATATTCATTTAATTTCAAATGACATAAAGCCATATTTGTTTGTGTTGTTAATTTTAATACATGAGCTTTTTTTTTATCATTTTCAGTTTCATAATTCGGTGATTTAAGATATTCAACAATAGTTTTATATTTTTTACAAGCAACACGATAATGACCATCCTAAAATAGAATACAAAAAAAAACTCGAGAGAATTTATTTGAATTCAGAAAATTTTATCCAAAGAAGAAAACAAGATTTTCTAGAAAACTCTAATAAATATTTCATTCAACTTAAAATCTTACTTTAATTAATTCAGCAGCACGTTTTTTTAATTTTTCTGATTCTTCAAGTTTTTCTGCATCATTTATTGACCATTTATCTACACCCTATAAAAGCACAAAAATACAAAAAAATTTTCTTTTTTCATTTTCTTTTCTTTTGAACAGACCTTTTCAAAATCATGTAATGTAACTATATATTTCACATGAGCATTTTTTGGAATATTAAATTTTTCAATACCAATTGTTGCTTTTGATTTTAATTTTAACTGACTGTTTTCACCTTTTGTCATTCGTGTTATAGCATATTCAATACTTAAAAAAATAAATGACAAAAAAAAAAAAAACAAATTAATTATATGAATAGAATAAATTATTTAGAAGATTTTATTATCATAATTTTGAAATTACTTACCCTTCGGGAATATTTTGTAAGAAACCCTCACCAACGGTAAATTTTATTTTTCGTTCGTCGAATACTCGATTTTCATGAGTACCTTTAAGAGAAACTTCAACCTTGCTACCATCACTTGGTTTAGCCCATCCTTCTCCTCTTTTGAATATTCGTCGTATAATACTTTGATCTTTTCCTTCACTTAAATCTTCACCTATAATTACAAAACACAAAATTTTTTTCAATTTTTTAAAATTTTTTTTCAAATCTTACCGATAAAATCAAAAAGTTCAATTTCAAAAATTAATGTTGCATTTGGTCCAATTTTATCTCCTGAACCACTTTCACCATAGGCATATTCAGGTTTACATATTAAACGACATATTTCTCCACGTTTCATTGTTGCTACACCAATATCCCATGCTTTAATAACTGTATCTTTACCAAGTTCGAATTCAAATTTTTGATTTCGATCTCGACTACTATCAAATTTAGTTCCATCAAGTAATGTACCAACATAATGTACAAATACTTTATCATTTGTTACTGGTTTTTCATCATCGGAACCTTCTTTGATTATTTCTTTAAGAATACCTTTTTAACAAAAAAGAACGAAAATAAAAAGATTTTTAATTGATTAATAATTATAAAGAACAAACCTCCATCTTTTGATGGTGAAATATCTTCGCCTTTAAATTCAACTTCAGCGGCCATCGATATGTTAACAGAATCGTTGCAAATGTGAAAATAAAAATCTATTGTGTAAGCATCGAGAATATTCCATTAGATGTCGTTAGAGTAGAAAATTTGACATATGTTCAAATTAATATTTTTATTTTATTTTTGAAATAATTTTTTTTTTTACTTTTTAATTTTCAAAACTATTTGTTTGTTTGAAAAGAAAAGAAAGAAAAACAAAATCATTTCAAATCGTTGTCAAAGCAATGGATTCATCTATGGTATCTATCATTCTTTTTATTCATATTAATTTTGATCATATTTTAAGAAAAATAAAATGGCTACACAATATTTTGAGCATAAACTTGAAGTAGGAAATTTTCCTGAAACACCTCATTTTCAATTGATGGAATGGCATCCATCGTTGAATATTCTTGCTGTAGCATCGGTTAGTGTTGGTACAAATATATTCTTTTACGGAGAAGATGTAAGTTAATATTATATTTAATAATTATTATAATTGAGTTTTGTTTTTCTTGTAAAAAAAATAGGGTGAACATGATGAAGCAGCTCGTGTACAACATATGGGTAATGCTTATTGTATGGCATGGCATCCAGTTAAAAAAACTTTAGCTATTGGTTTTTCAAGTATGAAGAAAAAGTTATTTTTGTATGAAAAGAAAAATATTTTGTTTTTGTTAGATGGTGAATTGATGATATGGAATGGATCAAATCGTCGATTGGAAAGTGTTATTGTTCATAAAACTTGTATTACATCGTTAATATTAAATATGGATGGAACACGATTATTGTCAACTGATCAAGTAATTCAGAGAAATATACTTTTTATACAGATTTATACTAAAATAAAAATAAGATTAACATTCTTAGTAAACATATAAAATAAAACTTATCTTTGGAGTCAAATCTTTTACAAAAAAAGAGATTTTTGATGAAGATTTCTTACTTGATTGTTATTTAATGATTGAACATAACGTTTTATTAATCATATATTTTAGGATGGTCTAATTATCCTTTGGAAAGCTGATTCTTTAGCTCAAGTATCTCAACAAAGCGTAATTTTGCAAGTTACTGTTCCTGGTGAATCAATCACATATGTATTAAGTAAAACGTCACCTTCAGGTCGATCTGATCAGTACGTATACTAAAATCTCGAATAGACTATTTATTCTATTAAGTATTTTTATTTTCAAGAGATTATCGAGATTTAGCTCGAGCAGCAGTTGAAGGTGATCAAACTGCATTAGATATGCTTGCTACGAGTACAAGTCGACAACAACTTAATGAACCAGCAACTTTTTATGTTGGTACTGATAAAGGAAATGTTTATATGGTTACGGATAAGTTACGAAAAATATGTTCGGCTGATGATGGCATTGCACGTCTTTTACATTCATATGATTTAGATATGCTTATTGTTGTTACTAAAGTAAATATGATGACACAATATAATCTTCAACAATTACAAACACAATCGGAAGTTTTAATTCCTACACATTCTGTAAGATAATAAATTCAATGAAAGAATAAAAAATAAATATAAAAGAAGTCTTTTATTGTGATCAATTTTTAAGGGTAAACTATCTGGTCGACCAACAGATTCAGATTTTGCTTTAATTGGTACAAGTTTATTTGCTTATGTTACTGGTGAATCAACAATACGGATGATTGATATTGCTTCATCGGATAATCTTCTATTGAAACTAAATCCAGATATGGGTTATGCTAATAATGAAGTTTTAATTTCTGTATCTTACAGTGCAATGAAAGGTATATCGTAGAGAATCTGTTCTTTTTTTTGTTTTTTAATAAATCTATTTTTTTTCTATATATAAGGAATTATTGCTGCTGGTACTAATCGAGGAAATATTGGATTTTGGGTTTATAATCCAAATCGTCGTACAACAGATCCAGAAAAACATTGGATTCTTCAACGAGCTAAACAAATTGCCACTGGTATACCTGTTAGAAGTTTGAAAGTAATGAGTTAACATTATTTTTTGAAGATATATTTATATAATTATATTTTAGTATTGTCCACAACGTAATTGTCTTGCTGCTAATTTGATTTCACAATTGTTTCTACTTACTGATGAAAATATGTCAGCAGCTTATCGAGATCAGGTACATTATTAAATTCATGTTATTTTAATTTCATAAAGCATGATTATTAATTGAAAAATTCGTTGTATATTTAGCTTGCAGTTGTTCAACTTAGTCCAACAGTTGTTCATATAGCATTTTTTCGTTATAGTATTGTCAAAGAAGAAGAATTAGATATACCATTTAAAAATTTATGTGTTTCTAAAGTTTGTATTCCGTTTAAGAAAACTCTTTTTCTAAAAATAAAAAAGAACTTGTGTAACTTTTTTCTTTCCTAGAATCATATTGCTATTTGGAATAAAAAACAAGTTCGTGTTTATGAACTTATTTGTGATGCATCAAAATCAGATGAGGAAAAAGTTGTTCGAAATGAAAAAGGTTAATGAAAAGGAATTTAAATTTATTAAAAAATTAAATTTTTTTTTTTTTTCGTTTTATTTAAAGGTTATTTTTCTTGTTCACCATCAAATGTTATCCTTTTCGATCAACTTTTATTTGTACAAGAAAATGGTCGTGTTAATGTCATGTCTTTTCAAGTAAAAAAAAAATATTATTCTGTTAAAAAAAAAGAACTTTCTTTTTCTATAAAAAAAAAAAAGGGAACATCTCGACAAACACTTGCATTTGCACAAAATGAGGGTGAAGTAAATACAATGAATTCAAATGGATCATTTCTTGTTATTGGTTCAACCAAAGGTTATGTTAAAGTTTTTGATATATCTCGACGGTACGTATAAACGACTATAATACCACACCTCCTCAAAAAAAAAAAGTCAATTTTCATTTGAAAAAATCAAAGTTGAGATAAATACATGGAAACATATCCTGAAGCCTAATCTTTCATACACAACATGATTTTTTATTTAGTACCTTGTTGATTCTTGCTTTTTGAATATCTCTCGAAAATATCATGATACAGAACTGAACATTTGAGTATAGTCTCATCACGACAGCCGAAATATATCTTAAAAAGTTTCATACGATTTGAATGTATCCAATCCAAGATCGATTTTTGATAGAGGTTGGTCTTAAATTCGATAAATAATTTTTTCTTTTTTATTTAATAGTGAATTACGACCACTTGGTAAAACATTAAATATAAATGCACATACACCATCAGTTGATACAATACGTGAATTAGCAGTTAATTGTACCGGTGCAAAAGTAACAGTTTTAACATCACAAGTAATAAATTTTTATAGAACATTATCTTATTAAATCTTACTTTCATTATTTAATAGACAAATTGTAATCCAAGTAGTCGGCTTTATATATGGGATGTAGAAAAAGATATTGTGGCATATTTTGATTTTAGTTCAGAGAAATTACCAGGTACTGAATATGGTCGTATTCGACAAAACGATAATACAAAAAATACACCACAATATCGTCGTTATCCATCAAATATTCAATGGGATCCAGAAGATTCTCGATTAATGGCATTAGAAATTTTTTTACATCAACAAAAACTTGATTTAAGTGCATCATTAAGTGGTGATGATAAAACTTATGATGTACTATTAACAAGTCGAGGAGTTGGAGATGGTGATGCAAGTATTGCAGTTAATCATACAGTTACACCACGAGAGTCAGCTGCAGTAAATCAAGAAGATATGGTAAAATATGTTTCATAGAATAGATTCTTAAGATCATTTTTTTGTCTAAGAAATATTGAAACATTTTTTGTTATTTAGAAAAAAACATTCGATAACATATCTAATTTTGGTTCTTCACTTTTAAAGTATTATTAAAAAAAGTGCATTTCTTATTCAGAAATTTCTATATTTTAATCTGATATTTGATTAGAAAGAATCTGGATTCAGTTGAACACGTATGTTGCTCTGAGAAAACGATTTTCTTTTCTTCTCGCTTAAATACGAGCTTGTATACAGTGAAAAGTTATCATCTTGTGATTAAAGGCTACAAATGTGATTTGATAATATCATATGAAAAAAATACTTTATAATATTATCATTAAAAAGATTATAATTTCCTATAATAATTTTTGTTGTTTTGTTTTTTCAGGCAGCATCATTAATTGTCAGTATGTTTTGCACATCAGATAATCAAATATTTCCAAAAGATATTTTTCTACGTAATGCTTCTTATCGACAAATGATTGCTATTAAAATTCCATTTTATTTCTTTGTTACACGAGTAATTTCATTATTTTTGATATGATATTTAAAAATAAAATAATCCATTTTTTATTCAATAGGATAAACATTCAGAATTAGATCGACATACAATTAAATCTAATCCAACATTACAAACATCAAAAACTGATCAATCGGATATAGTTGATGAAAATATTTCAATAAAAAATTCACGTATTCGTATTCAACTTCCTAAACTTGATACATTAGATGGTAGTGGTCTTATCCCTTCAACACATAATCATGATCTACGTTCAAATGGTTTTCTTTCGGATTCAGAGCTTGGCGGTTAGAAGAAAAATTGAAAAAAAAATTTTTTTTAAATAATGTTTCTCTTTCTAGAAAGTGTTGTCTATTCAGATTATCTTACGGGAAAAACAATGCCAGATTTTATTGGTGTTAATGGTCTTGAAAAAAATATTATTGAAGCAATTATGAATTTTAGTTATAATTTAACATTAGGAGATCTTGATGCTGCATTTAAAGCAATAAAAATTATTAAAAAGTAAAGAAAATTTTTTGTCGAATAAGAATTTGGTTTTTAATTATATTCCATTATTTAGAGAAAGTGTTTGGGAAAATTTAGCTCGTATGTGTGTATTAAATCGACGTGCTGATGTAGCAAAAATATGTCTTGGTAAAATGGGTCTATTTCGTGGTGCACGAGCTTTACGTGCTGTTGATCAAGATAATCCTGATACTAAAATAGCTATTTTAGCTATACATTTAAATATGAAAGTATGTTTAATAGAAAATTTTATTAAATTATATAATATATGTCTTTTAAAAAAAAACAAAAAAAGGAAGAAGCAGAAAAGATTTTACTTCAATCAAAACAATATGATCTTCTTAATCAATTATATCAATCAACAAATGAATGGGAAAAAGCTATTGATATATCAACACGTCATGATCGAATACATTTACGTAATACACATTATAATTATGCTAAATATCTTGAACAAAATAATCAATTAGAAAAAGCAATTGAATTGTAAATATAAGAATATTTATGTTTTTCGTTAACTTAGAAAAATGATTTTTGTTCTC